ATCATCTGCTTCGGATTACTACACTTTTTGTGTGTGTCTCAGTCGACGATTTGCGTCACTAAATTTTGATAACTAGGAGAAAGGCAAGGACACTTTGACATCTTCATGGGACCGTGCAGACGTGCATGCGAGAGAGAGAATGGGATAGACGGAGAGTGCGCGGGAACGTATGATGTGATATAACATAGTCTTCTCAGATTACGGATTGAAAGAACAAGGTACATTGCCAGAATTAAAAAGTACAGACTACGGATTGAAACAACAAGATACACTGGAGTAATTACAAACACACAAAATACAGACTATGGATTGAAAGCATGCGACACAGTTGTAATTAAACAGTAGCCAACACAACTTATGTCCTAATCACTCTTGCATCCGATTACTGCGAGTACCGCTGCGAAGAGCCTTGTCCATAGTACCAATTTCCACCACATGCAGGAGGAGGCGAAGGAGGTGGAGGATGCCCCATGTTTCCTTGGCAGGGGCACTTGCAATGTGGATCATTGTACACTGGCTTGTCTTGCATCGGAACATCTTGTCCTTCTTCTCCTTGAGTGTTTTGTTCTTTGGTTGCTGACATGCTTTCAACCTCTCTTTCAAGGTCAAATATATGCGGTTCTGTAGGTGGTGGATGAATTCTTCGTACGGGTAAATGGCAGGTGGATCAACCCACCTAGTGAAACTACAGTTGTCCTCGTCTTCGGAGTTCTATAGAATACGTAGTCTTGTTAGTATGTATGAAGATGAGTAGTACGATAAAATGTGTAGTAAGACTTACCCATCTGCGAGGACATTTGAAGAACCGACGCCCTCCATGAAGGCCACCGTCGCTGTATACTTGGACTATGCAGTTGTCACCATGGCAGCATTTTGGCCACTCTTCTTTCCTGTTATCATATGGCCGCAACCTACTAGGTGTACGAAAATACTTCTTACCTTGCAATGGGAAGTTTTCTAGTGGATCTGGGTACCAATCTGGACCATAAGATCTTGGCCAAACCACAGGATCAGTTCCCTTTCCCTTCCCTGACGCACCCGACATTGGTTTGGACTGTCTCGGTTAAGTGGATGTATGTTTAGCTTTGCGCTCGGTGGGCACGAACAACTTCGACCCGTCGATATATAGCAAATGCCAGAGATGTGGGCTATGTAGCTCGATGTTACAACTCACTGAAAAGGTTGTGTAGCATGCAGTGTACGTAGCATGCAGTGTTGATGTTCATACTCACTTAAAAGGCTAAATAATGATGAAGTGACAACTCACTACAAAGGCTATGTAGCATGCAGTATACGTAGCATGCAGTTTTGATGTGATTACTAGCTGAAAATGCTACATCCTACATTTGTAGTGCCATTAAGTGACCTGACCGTAGCCTGAAAAGCCTACAAAGCTAGACGACGCTGACATGAAAACTTACTGAAAAGCCTACACAGGTAGACGTTGGCAGAGCCTGTCGGTGGCTACTGTGGATTCAATACGGTTGTTGTCATGTTGATGTGAGTACTTGCCGTAAAGCCTAAATAATGATGAAGTGACAACTCACTGCAAAGGCAGTGTACATGCAGTGTACGTAGCATGCAGTCTTGATGTGAATACTCACTGAAAAGGCTACATCCTACATTTGTAGTGCCATAACAGGTTGACGACGCACTTCATTCATGTGACTTGTGGTCAGCTCGTCTAACCTTTGCCAAAGGAAATCGAATTTCTTTCTCTGGTTCTGCTTGCATAGCCTCTTGAACAGGTCCATCAGGCGCTTGCTCTTGAACTGCTTGTAGAAATTACTACCTAGATGCCTCATGCACCAGCGACTTTGTATATCTGGCCATTGGACCTCTGGATCCCTACCGTTCTTCAATTTATCCACTGCATTCAATAAACCAGCATTACAATCATGCAGGACACAAGCATTCTCCCTATCTTCCACCAGAGCTCGTTTAATCAACTCCAGGAACCAGAACCAGCTATCGTTGTTCTCAGATTCAACCAGAGCGAAAGCAATAGGCACAACCTGGTTGTTGCCGTCAACCCCTATGGCTGTTAGCAATGTACCTCTGTACTGTCCAGTCAAGAAAGTGCCATCCACACAGAGCAGAGGTCAGCAATGCTTGAAGGCTTGTATCATGCACCCCAGAGACCAAAAAGCTCATTTCAGGACACGGTCTCCTTCCCCGTTTATGTAGTCATCAATATCAATTATAGTCTCGGGGTTTCTGGCTTGAATGGTTGCTAGAAGAGTTGGCAGGTGGTGATATGAGTCCTTGTAATTACCGAACCTCTTCTCCAAGGCTAGTTGTTTTGCTCTCCAAGCCATGTCATAAGACATCTCATAGCCATATCTGTTCTGAATAGCAAGCATTATCCGAAATGGAGACATGCCAACTTTTTCAACGATCTCGCCATACATAACATTGGCCACAAATTCCGCCCTCATGTTCTTATGCTTCATCAGCGTTGTCTGTAGCAAGCAACTGTGTGGTTCAACAATGGTGGTGATGAAGTTGGTCTCCGTACGTGGCATATGACCATGAACATGCCAAGTACAACCTTCGGTCACACACTTAACATCCCATGTTGCGGGGTTAGAAATAACCACCTTGAACTACTTCTTTTCAGAAAAAGACCACCGCCGAACTGCGTGCTGCAGATGAACCTTGTCATGAAACATCTGGCCTTGTCTGACCTCGATCCTTGAATACTCCCATGACGAATGATGAGCATCATCGACCGTCATGCAATCTGGTGCTATGTGAGCCCAATCCTTAGGGATATCGGTCTCGCCGTAAAACCTCTGACCCGCAAATTCATCCACAAAGGCATGGTGGTGCTTCGCATCATCAGCCTCCATCTGTTCCATGATTCTTTCATCCTCCTCACACTGGTCAACTTCCATATAAGGACCATACTCTTCTGCTTGTCCATCCTCTGTCAGGTTCTGAACCGCCTGATCATCGCAAACATAGGTATGCTCAGCATTTGCGGCCTCCAAATTGTCCTCTGCTGCACCTGTGTTGCTACTCTCACCCTGCATGCCACCATCCAGGAACTCAGCAAGCATGATGTTGCAATAACGACGCTACAACGCCTTGGACACGAGAAAATGCCAGTTCTTCGTGTTACTGGCCTCATACAACTCCCACCTCCATCCATTCTCCCGCAATTTAGGCACCAACATACTAATCTTGAAACGATGCTTCGAGGGCGGAACACTGTGGGGGATACACCCAAGTATTCATGTAGCCAGGCTAAAACTTGTTTCCGCCTATAATCTAGCGGGGAATTCAGTTCTGTGTCAAACACCTAAAACTCGCTAAGGTCTACCCCGCTGTCCCCATATCTAATTTCACCGTTGCCATGGTATATTCTAAAAGCAACTAAATCGGTCGACATTCCTGGTCGCATCATTCAAAGCATCCAGTCAGTTAAAAGAAGTATCATGGCAACCTACTCTAACGAAACAAAATAAACTAAAAAAACTAACCCTAACAGATTAACCCTAACAGATTAACCTGCTACTAACTAAACTAGCCGTAATCCAAAAGATTTATCCGAAACTAAAACTAACAACTAAAACTAACCCTAACCTACCTCAAACTAATCTACAACTAAAACTAACCCTAAAATTATGGCTACAGATTAACCCTAAAATCTAATCTAACTAAACTAAACTAACTAAATATACTAAGTAATCAAACTAAGCTAACTAAAAAACTAAATCAATGTAAACTAACCCTAACCTAAAACTACAAACTAAATATACAATTAAATCTAACTCTATACAAATCTAACTAATCTACAACTAAAACTAATAAAATCTAACTAAAGTTACTTAAAAAGGAAAACTAAATTAAAAAAAAACAAAATCCATACCTATCGGCACTTGGCTGACCGAGGGTGAGCGCTCCCGCGCGGGACGGCTGCGGGCCTACGCGTTGGGGGCAGGAGCAGCAGCGGCGACGCCTGATCCGGCGTTCCTGGGCAACCAGCAGCAGCGACGCGGCGTCCGGGCGAGCAGCGACTCGGCGGCGATGGTGGAGTCGTGCGAGAGAGAGAGGCTACGCGCAAGAGAGAGGAAGGAGCCTCCATGGGCCGATTAGCCAGTGGGTCCAGGGCCTGTCGGCCCTCCAGTTGCCGACAGGGCACCTATGGGCAGTCCAACTGCCAACAGACTACTACTTCTACAATTCTTTTTATCCAAATGCTTTATTTACAATTAATAATTAAAATACTATCATTACGTGAAAAACAGTTTGTAGCAACGAGGATTTTTTTAGGGGCCGCCCCTACAGTGGCGTACTAGGGCTCCAGCATAGTAACCGCCCCTACAAATGGCACAGTGCCCCGGCTGGTAATACGAGCCACCCCTACAAATGAGTCGATTTGTAGGGATGGCCGGTATTACCAGCCGCCCCTGCTGTGTCCATTTGTAGGGGCGCCTGAATCACCAGCTGCCCCTACAAATGCCCACTGTATATATATAGCAACCACCTTCTTCCACCTCGGGCCACTCTCTCCAACCCGAGAAAAAAAAGTTCCAACCCTAACTCGCTCTCGCGCATCCACATCCGCCTCTCCCTCTCCCTCCTCTCTGGGCAGCAGCTCCCTCTCTCTCTTGTCTCCGCTCTCCTCCCTCCCTCTTTTCTTAGCGGCACAGGAGGGCCCAAGCGCGGTGGCCTGGCTCGGCACGGCGGCACGGTGGTCCAGCGTTGGATCCTTAAACGCCGAGTCACAAATGTCGGCGTATCTCAACTTGACGCCGAGGTATGGCCACTTAAACCATTCTGGCCCTCTTCTTCCTCCCTCCTCCTTTCTTCCCCCCACAGCCGCCTTCTCTCTCTCCCTCACTCTCCATGAACCCTAGACACACCGCCACCACCAAAGCTCCCCGTCAGAGCAAGCCCCCCGACCACCATCACTGCTCCCCGTCGCAGCCGTCCGCAGCCCCCTACTTCCTCCACTCCCTCTCCCTTTTCTCTCTCTGAGATTGTTCTGCTCCATGGTGGTCGGTGGCCGGAGTGGCCGGAGACGGGTCAGATTCGTGCTCTCCAAGGCCGGATCCGGGGGCTACCTACCAAGATCTGTGCACAGGGAGTTGGTGCGTCGTGACCCAGTGGTGGCCGGCTCGGCGACCCCCGTCCTAGCTCCGGCGCTGATGGGGTCGGCGCACGTGGATGCGGTCAGGCGCGGGGGGCGGAGCGTCGGGCTATCCTCTCCTCCCCGCCCCACAGGACATCAACGAGAACCTCCAAGCAACTGACAGGGGCGTGCGACCATGGGGCCTGCCGCCTGATCCAGCGAACCCGTCCTGGTCCTAGCTCGGACACGAGGGGCCTCCGCAACGTCTACGAGCACTCCTGGGAGCGACTGCACCCGAGGTGCCGCGACTGCCGGCAGGACGAGCGATGGAACGAAGACGAAGGCCTCGACCGGTGCCCGCGTCGTGCACAGGTGCTGGCCGGCCAGGTGCACCTCCACACGCCCCTACAAATGTGCCGATTAACTTTGGGTATGTCTTCATATATTGTAGGTGAAACTTGGAAATGTTATACAAAGAAGAGGTGTGAGCTTACATCTCTTGTGTTTTACTTTTCCTTTCAAGTATCATTGACTGTTACTTACTCATCCCTTTGGCCAACCTCAAAAATTCAAGGTCGCATTTATCAGGTGCAAAATTTCTTCTTGTATTATGCATCCATTGGTAGTTGCTGTTTTGATGGAGTTACCCGTGTTCATTACAAGAACAAGCATTGTATGGTTTCCTAACTTGCTTGTCTTCTGTTTAGGTAATAAAAGCACAACATTCGCATCAAGGAAGAGGAGGAGCCACAATACAGGTCATTCATTTTATTTGTTCCATAGTTTATTTCCTGCAGCAATTGGCGCCACATACTTCACTCTCACGATTTCAAATAGTTAATATTTGTTCTGTTTTATTTTGAACACTTTGACTATTGCAGGTCGAACTGAGGGATGTTGACACTGGTAACAAAATAACAGAAAGATTTCGTACTGATGAGGCCCTTGAGAGTATGATTTGTTTTTCTTTTTCTTACATAAAAGTATAAAACACGACTTTAACAGCTAAGATGTAGCCATACAAGCCTTTATGTTGTAGCCTAACTGCCTCCATGCATGTAACCATCCCCCTACCTGGGCAGTCCTTTCTTCTGATTATAATTTATTGTTCTAGTGTCTTACATAGCAATCATGTGCAAAGCCAATTTTTGGCAGTCTCATAACCTATGGAACATGATTGAGCAAACTAAATTGAATTCATGACTATAATTATGATGTAGAACATGGTATATATTGATCAAGCAGTTGGTAGTCTTAGGACCAATATCTCAACAGCCTCTCCAGAATTTTCTATTGCATAAATGCTGCAATTAATTTGATGGACATGATTGTATTATTTTTGCACATAAGTACACTATATTAATAGTATTGGAGAAAATACAAAAGGGTACAGTACCTATATGTAACCAAGTTTTATGAGAGGTCATCTAAAACTACCTGGTTCCACTTCCACCTGAATCCTGGCTACATTTGAGCCTTCCTGTTTAGCCAACTTCCCTACACAGCCTGAGCTGATAGCCTTGTATTGGCCTGGCCATCATTGACATTGGTTTAGGGGATAATAAACATTGTCTGCCAACAGTATTCAGTTAGGTGTCGGTTTAAATATTTGATAACATGTTTGCTTCATTTTTTCCAGTTTTAAAATTAAACAATCATGCATATAATGCTAGTCTAATTATTCCTGGCATTGGACAGTGAGCCTGGCTAGATTAGATGAATCCTTCGCGGATCCAAAGAGCGGGTTCTTGGCCATGGAGCGAGGGGCCACCAGCGCCTAGATCTCTGCATCTGGTGGCCATTGGTGGTTCTTGGTTCTGATTTGTTGCTGCCTGGTGAGGACTGAGGAGAAAAGTAAAGGAAAACAGGAAGGGGGGAAGGCGATTCAGGTTACTCTTGACGTGTCAAGATGAAGTACATGAAGCTTGGATAGAAGCTGGATGTCTTTCAGACAGAGGGGAACAGTATCAGGTGAAGTTGTCCTTACCTGCTCTTGTTTACAGTTTCCGGTGCCTTAATCTGAATTTCCAATTTCTCCAACTGTAAGTTTGATTCACCTGACGTCTTGTTTTTTTATTGTAGAAATTTGTAGTTTGCGACTTTATTTTTTACTACAAAATTGACCGTGGATAAAGATGTTTACAAGTATTTAACTATTTATATGATGCTATTTGTGTAGTGTTCCTAGGCTGAGAACACCACAAATGTCAGTTAATAAATCTATTTGAACAATTTCACCTCTCTAGCTAGTTTCTAGAGACATGTATATATCTACTAATAGCTGAGATCTACTAATAGCTGACGCCATGTTTGCTTGGCTTATAAGCCGTACTTTTTCAGCCAACGAACAGTATTTTTCTCTCACAACAAATCAGCCAACAGTACTTTTAGCCATGACTTATCAGCCAAGCAAACAGGGCATGAGTTGGCTCTAAATATATTTGCACACTGAACTTTTGCATTGTTTTTCCACGGCTATGATTAGCACCAGAAAGAGAGTATCTTTCTGAACGTGAGTACATGTACTGTCAAGCTGTGGGTCTCATGATGGCACTTGAAAAGGCTCCATCTACACTGATCTCCTGTACAGTACAGGGAAATGAGGCATCCTCTCTGATTCTTTGCCAATGGCATCTGTTCTTCAGCTTTACAAGTATACTCCTCCTACTTGCGAGCATTATATGTTGAATTCATTCTTTATTAAATGTTTTTCAGGTTTGTTACAACTGAGCTGGCAACGGATATTGTTATCGCTGTAGGGGATGTCAAGTTCTATCTTCAAAAGGTACTACACCACCAGCCTAATCTTCCATTTGAACATGTTTACGGTCTCTGTCTTAGCACACCCAAACTAAGATTCAAACCTTTAGCCTGTAATTTCTTTTCTTGCAATCTGTTGGAAGAAATATTTTACACATAGGTGTTCTTGACACATGCTTCATTAGAATCATTGACTGTTGATCCATGTACCGATGTTTTGCTGTGATTGAACTTGTGACTGATCAGAGATGTCTTGATTTTCAAAATTCAAAACACACACAGTTCCCTCTTTTGTCCAAGAGCTCCCGCCTACAAACACTGGTGGCGTCAACAAGCGAGGAGAGCAACGACGAAGTGGACATCTCCGACATCCCCGGCGGGCCAGCGGCGTTCGAGATCTGAGCCAAGTTCTGCTATGGCATGGTGGTCACCCTCAACGCCTACAACGTGGTGGCCGCCCGGTGCCCGGCGGAGTACCTGGAGATGTTCGAGACGGTGGACAAGGGGAACCTCGTCTACAAGATCGACGTGTTCCTGTCGACGAGCATCTTCCGGACCTGGAAGGACTCCATCATCGTGCTGCAGTCCACTAAGTCACTTCACCAATGGACAGAGAGAGCATTTAATTAATAATTAGACTACCACATAAAAATCAGTGAGTATTGTCATTGTCTTTCACATAAATGTATATTGTCATTGAGTTTCAGTACAATCGCAGAAGAAAATAAGTTATGATAGAGTTGTGCATGAAAAATATATGTTCTAGTCGAATTTGAATTGTAAATTTGAATTTTTTTTGCGAAAAAATGTACTGTCAGGGCCGTTCTAGACTGAACCGCCCCTACAAACAGGTATTATAGGGGCGGCTGGTACTACGGCTGTCCCTACAAATTGATTTGTAAGGGCGGCTGATAACACCAACCGCCTCTACAAATCGATTTGTAGAGACGGTCTGAGAACCGTCCCTATAAATACATGATTTGTAGAGACGGTATGGTAGGGACGGCTGGCCGAGCCGCCTCTACAAACCATCGCCAGCCGTCTTTACAAATGCTTATTGTGGTAGTGTATTATTTTAAAAAAAAGTCCTGGAGGAGGCCCTCACAAGTTGGATCTCCAAAAGTATGCGTCTGGTCTGTGATTGTACCAGGCAGAATGGGCCGACGGAAAAAAAATCTTCAGTGCCCTCTCAAGGCGTAGTCGTCGCCGCTGCTGGCTGCCATCTCGATCGCAACGCAATCACATTCACATTACCCAAAAAAACAGACGTACCATCGCCCTGTTAGTTTGGGCTTGTTTGGCTGATAAGCCATGGCTGAAAGTACTGTTGGCTGATTTGGTATGAGAGAAAAATACTGTTCATTGACTAAAAAAGTACGACTTATAAGCCAAACAAACTCAAACGAATAGGGTGCATGTACGTTAGACCTTGACGAATTATATTAAGCGTCTGTTTTCCCAGGCTGCATTTGATAACCAAGGGAACTATGTATATTATCATTATTAATTTTTGTGAATTTCGCGGTATGGACACAGACACGGATACTCTTGAAAGACTAAGATTTGGGCATGCCGTCTCCCTATGAAAGAACTAGATGATACCCCGCGCGTTGCTGCGGAAAATTTGTAGCATTACATAGATACGAGAGAACACATGTCATATTGAGAAACTATTAAATTGAGTATTACACCGGTTTTCATGTAGAATTAAGTACCCTCGTCTTAGAATATTTTTTAGATCCGATAAAACCGTCTATATCTCTATAAATGGATGTATATCTCGATAAAAACACTGCCCCCCTCGGTAGTGTTTTCCTCTCGTAATAAATGGATGTATACACAAAGATGAAGGCATCCAACTAAACACGTGTAAAAATTGTGAGCTTCTCAGGTGCTCGCAAGCAACACAATGCTGAGATTGGGCCTTAGCAACAAAAGAATGATGAGATTGGGTTAGGCTCTCTCGTTCGGTGTTTTGGCTTTCTCCACCAACGCAGTGTCTGCCTCTTCGCCCGCACCGTCGACCTTCATCTGCATAGATGAAGTTTCCTCCACCCGCCACCGAACAGACATGCTTCGGACCTATATATGCGCCTCCCGCACGCGTCGCCACCCACGATCCCGCCATGGCCTTCTCCATCGCTCGCTGCATGGTGGCCGCTGCGAGCACCTGCAACTTGCCGCGCCTCTGCACCTGCGGCCCGTCTCGCTTCGTGGGGGTCACCGCTGCTGTTCGCCTGCAGGAGGCCACCATCATCGACCACCGAGCGAGGATCTGCGCCCTGCCAGCGCCTATGGAGAGATATATAGGCATATAGCGTGGGAAGGCTAAAAGGCCATATGAAATGCTATACAACACACGTGTGTTTTAGAAAAAAAAACACATTGATTTTTTTATCTATGATGTCTAGGGTCCACGTGTCATAACCAGCGTGCATGGAGGCACCACGCCCGTGCCTCCCTGGCCTGCTGCTCGCGCTGCTTCCCTGCTGCTGCCTGCTTCCCCGCGCGGCCCCGCAGTCCTCCCAGCTGGCGGCAGACGAGGCGCAGCTGCTGCTCCTCCTTCACTACTAGAGAACAGACTTTAGAACGATGTCCCAATTTAGCATTAGCCTCGGCATTTTTTGCCCCCGGGCCTAAAGGACCCTTTAGTCCCGGTTGGTAATACCAACCGGGACTAAAGGTCCCTGCCCAACGGTCGTCCGCGGGGCATGGATCTTTAGTCCCGGTTTGGGTTATGCCCCGGGAATAAAGATTAATCTTTAGTCCCGGTTTGGACCCCTAACCGGGACTAATTATCCCGGCCTATAATTCTGCTCAATTCTTCCTCCCCGAGCCCGAGCCATTCCATTATTCAAACTCACTACCTCTGTTCTTCAGCTTGCTGTTGTTCTTTAACTCTCCCCCTCCATTGGTGTTGCTCTTCGATTTTAGAGGTAACAAACTTAATCCTCTTATGTTTTATCAGTAGCTTATCTCATTTTGCGATGTAGATGCATGTGTAACTTTATATGTTGGACTTTATTATGATTTTATATATCATTTTTAGCTCAAAATCACATGATGATTTGCATATATGTTTGGATAAACAAAAGTTAAATTAGTTCATCAAAATCACGCCTCGCTCGTCCTCGCTGGAGCACGCGCCATTCTCGTCCCCGGTGGCTTACGTGATCTTAGAATTAATTTTTCCATGAAATGAAAAACTTAGAAAATTGTTAGAAAATTGTAGAAAATCCGTACTAGTTGAACTTGCGGACCGTGTTCAGCTCGGCAAGCATGTTCTCTCGCCGAAGCGGTAGCACGGACGTCAAGGAGGAGCTTTGATTCTCTGAGGAGAGCGCGCAACGGTCGTGGAAGACCGTGTTCCCTTTCTCGTAGAATCGAGCTCTTCCTTGGCCAAGTACTGTGCCGTCCGGTGGAGAAATGCTCGCCGAGATGATCACGTAAGCAAGGTCAACTAGTACGGATGGTTATTTATTGAAACATGTTTTTGAGCTATAATTTGATGGATATTTGAAAATATGAAATTTACACTAGTTTGCAAAAATAAGTATAGAAAGTAGATGACAATCGTTATCGGATCCTCGGCCTCTCGTTCGGTTTGCGAACGATCGAGGCCGTAACTCCTCTCATTATCTGCGGCAAGTGTAAGCGTAAGATTGTGATGGAGTACCGAGTCAAGAGACAGGGGACCCAACAAGGGTCGTGTTTTCTACAAGTGCCCGGATCGCGATGTGAGTTTCTTACGCATTTTATAATTATGGCTAATTGACCGCTTTTCTTGAATATTTTTTGGCTTTAATTTCAAAGTGGGAGGGCAATGGATGCGATGGTTGATACTTTGGGAGGAAGATTATGCTACATACGTGTAGAATTTGGGTGCGCTTGAGGTAGCAAGCGGTACTGGCTGATGAGGCGAAGAGCCAATGAGGAGAAGCTTATTGATATTCAACGGAAGAATGATTTGTCTGCTTTTAGTTAAATCGATCACAAAATAATTATGTTCTTGAAGTGCATTGTAGTTTTAGTTTGTTTAGTGATAGTTGGGATTGCTTACGTTGTAGCCAGCTTAGTTAATTAATCAACCGTGTGTGTGTCATTTATGTTGTGTAATAAAATACTTAATTATGTTCAAGGTTTTCATAATTTGTCGTGTAATCTGATTATGTCACGCCATTGGATGTACAATGCCGATCGCCGCTCCCAAGACTTTATAGAGGGCTTGCACTATTTCTTAGGTGTGGTCGAGGCAAATAAGCGGGATGGTTTCATATGTCATCCATGTGCCCTATGTAAGAATTTAAAGGAATATTCAAGCTCAATGAGTCTTCATTCACATTTGCTTAAGTCGATTTCATGTCAAACTATATATGTTGGACTAAGCATGGAGAAAGCGGGGTCATGATGGAAGAAGGTGAAGGAGAAGATTTAGACATTGATGACATTATTGCTCGAGATGGTGCCTTTGATGATACTACAATGGGGGAGATGAAGAAGAGGTAGCGGTAGAAGATGATCTCGGTGATGCTCTTGGCGATGCCATTCGTGATGCACAACAAGAATGGGAAAGTGAAAAGAGAAAGTTAAGTTGGAGCGCATGCTTGAGGATCATAGGAAGTTGCTATACCCGACGGTAGAAGAGGGGCAAAAAAAGTCGGGTACAACAACTGGAATTGCTACAAAGGAAGGCAAAAGAATGGTGTATCCGATAAGGCATTTGGGAATTTATTAAACCTTATAAAGAAGATGCTTCCGAAGCCAAATGAATTGCCCACCACTACGCATTTAAGCAAAAAAGGTTGTCTCCGCCTTTGGGATTAAAAATCCGAAAGATACATGCATGTCCTAATGACCGTATCCTCTACCATGGCAATGAATACGAGAATTTGGATGAATGCCCGGTATGTAAAGCATCGCGGTATAAGATCGGTAGCGCGATGATCCCGTGGACGTCGAGGGTGAACAACGTCCTAGAAAGAAAATCCTCGCCAAGGTTATGTGGTATGCTCCTATAATACCACGCTTAAAACGTTGTTCAGAAAATAAAGACCACGCAAAGTTGTTGCGGTGGTATAAAGAAGACCGTAAGGTAGACAATATCTTTGAGACACCCAAATTGATGGGTCCCAGTGGAGAGCGATAGATGAGAGAATTTTCGAGTTTGCAAATGAGGCTAGAAACTTAAGGTTAGCCTTTTAAGTACGATGGTATGAATCCTTTTGGACAGCGAGCACTAGTCATAGCACTTGGCCAGTTACTCTATGTATCTACAACCTTCCTCCATGGTTATGCATGAAGCGGAAGTTCATTATGATGCCGATCCTCATCCAAGGTCCGAGGCAACCTGGCAACGATATTGATGTATATCTGAAGCCATTAGTTGAAGAACTTCTAGTTTT